TGGGAAGACGTGCCGGGATTGCAAAAAGCCATTTCTGTTTGTCCAGTGACTTGTTTCAACGGTTCGAGACGCTCTCCTCCGCAAGGCGGGAGGAACCCCCCGTCCCCTTTGCCTCACCGCTGAAAGGTCTCCCCCAGGCCTTCCCAGCTCTGCCTAAAACTTGTCCTGCCACCACCCGAAGTCCCATGCTGGCTAAGAGGACGGAAACTGAGGTCTGACGTGGCGCTGGGTTGCGGAAGGCAGGTCGACAGCAACCCCTCTCCCCCTTTCTGCGCTCACCTGGTCTTTCACTGGGGGCAGAGCCCCCGCTTTCGTCCAGTTGCAGGGTTTGGGTTCCTTTAAGGGGCTGCGGGGCGGCTGAGTCTGCACAAACGGTGGAGCCTGCAAGACGGGGTTGCCAAACTTCTTAGCAAACTCGCTTTCTGGGTAGGGAAGGAGAAGGAAAAATAAGGGCGTCTGTGTTGTCGGGAGGACACGTTTTCTATTCGCCGGCCCCAACCTGGGGCTTGGGCTTACAACTCCAGTTCTTCTCTAACCAGCGTGGGTTGTGATGGCTGGGGATGAGGGGCATTGTAATGCAGAGCACCGAGGAGGAAGCGTCTGGCTGCGTTTGCAGAACGTGGGCGCTTGGTGAATCCACTTTGTCCTCACCGAAGACACTGAACCCTAAAGCAATATCCTGCACTGGGTTTGAAAAACACACACGGGGCCTCCGAACAAAACCATCTCAAGAGGACGGATAGCTTTTTGTGGGGTACTTCAGCCCCATCTGTGTTTTCCGCGCCTCGCTCACCAAACGCACCCCACCTTCTCCAAACCATCCATATTTCTTCAAAAACGCTTCCCCATCCCCCTTATGTCTGATTTCATGACCCATCTTTGGGGAACAGCAGCTTCTATACTCTGCTTCATATACAGTATTTCAAATATACAGCATCGTGGGATTTACTTACTAGCCTAAGGGGCAAGTGACTTTCACTAGCACCAACATTTCTAGCCTGAGTTTCTCCCAGTGCTGGAAAACTAAGGGGTCGTGGTTTATGTATTATTAGATTGATATCCCGCCTTTATCTGGTAGGATTCAAGGCGGTGTACAGAATGCTGCTGCCTGTTTTCCCCACAACAACTGCCCTGCGAGGTAGGTTGGTCTGGCCCAAAGTCACCCAACTAGCTTCCATGCCTTAGGGAGACCTAGAACTCCCGATCTCCTGAGTTTCTAATCCAGGATCTTAATCATTACACCAAACTGGCTCTCTATGAATGAAATTGAATAGAGTTAGATTCCCTATGGCAGAGTTTGTCAACCTTGGCCACTTTAAGATGGGTGGACTTCAACTCCCAGAATTCCCCAGCCAGCATGGCTGGCTGGGGGATTTTGGGGGTTTAAGGCCCCCCCTCTTAAAGTGGCCAAGGTTGACAAAATCTGCCATCAGGAAACTAACTCTATTCA